GAAAAAATAATTATGATCTTTGCCTTTTAATTATTTTTGTATCAGATGTGTTCCACACAGGAAATGCATCCTAAACTGCTAGAGTTCACAGATCAGACCTGGCATACTAATTTATGTTAAATTATTTCAGATTCACATCAAAGACAGAATTTAGGATTTTGCTGTCAACGTCTGTGTTAGAATGCAATGCACATCCTTTGGCAGGATGGAAAAGGAAATGAAATAAGGGAGAGGTTTGGAAACCTCAGTCTCAAGAAATTGCTTGAAACTGCTGAGAGCCAGTCTCCTTCTGAAGTCAAATGGGTCACCTGTTCAGTATTTCTCTGCAAGTTGTGTATCACAGTGCTTCTAATTTCAGAAAATCCAGCCTATGCTGCAACTGGTGAAACTGGTTTTAATTTGTAAGAAAGAGCTAAAATTGTGAAATCACCTAAGCAGTTGTGGGTCTAAAGTCTTTGCTATATTTCACTGGTAAAGAAATAATGCATATGTACAGAAATTAGTATATAAAAGTGTGTGTGTATACATAAGCACACATAAAAACATAATATTTATAAACCTAAAGAAATGTGTTAATATGCTGGACAATAGAACAAACTAAATGTGTATCTCTGAATTGTGATAACAGGACAATCACTGAGATTGTTGAGGAAGAAAATCAATTTAAAAAAAAGGCCTTTGAATTCCAACAGGTCATTTCTATTCATGCTGCTGACTTAAACTTAATGCTCTGTTTGTGTTGAAAGCAGCCCATATCTCCAATTCAGACTGCAAAACAAATTTGCTGTCTTTTGGAGGAAAAATTATAATGAGCACAAGAGAAAATGTGGTGTGCAGTGAAGTTCTGACTTAACATTAATTTTGGATTTCATAGTTTCTTTGAAACATGGTAACATCGTGATTCATGCTTGTCTCTAGAAATATTACTGGAGAAGAATGAGCTCCACTGTAGGAAATTGATAGGCATGACTTATGTTGATTTGGCCATATGTGATATACTCAGGGCAATTAGATTAGAAAATATTTACTATGGAAAGAAGAATCAATAGTTATCATAAATGAAAACAAATAATGAAACTATTAGAAGATAACAAAAATTTTGCAAATAAATATTCTTCAATATTCTGTTTGATAAAGCAATTGGCAAAGAGGTTTCAGGAAACTGTAGTGTCATCTGTGTCATGCTCTGTATCAAAGGATTTGTAATTAAGAATGTAAGAAAGAATGATTTCTTAATTCACAGAATACTACATAATTTGCAGTGATACATATGGAAAGTACCCAACACATGTTGTGGTGTAATTCATATAGAATAACAAATGATGCAAATTAGATTTGATGCTGCTTGAATGTGTGTACAGTTTTTATGAATTGCAAATTCCAACTCTGTTTCCAAGCAACCCTGAAAAGTCATATTAAGGAATCTGTTTCAAAAGTAATATAAGAAAAAATCTGGTATATCTTTGAACTTGAAATTTCTAAGTATGCTGAAGATGATGCAGGAAATCACAGCATTATCAAGTAAGCAGGTGGTACGTTTCCCCATCAGTCAGCACTGAAGTGATGATCTAATATGTTGATATAGGACTGTGATCAGGAGCAGTTACTGTCTGTCTGATGAGCCAATGTCCTAAAACACACAGTGAATAAAACCCCCTTTCTGTGTTTTGATGTGTGTGCTTATATGTATGCGTAGGGGTGTGAAGCCCTGGGGTCCTGAATGAGTTCCAGTGTGGTTAATTAATTTCTTCCTCAAATAAAAATATACCTGACATTTCATCGCCTTCTAACCATTAAAAGAATTAGCAAGGGAAGCAGATGGAAGTAATGGCACAGAGTTTTACTTAGAAGGACATGAAAGGGATTTTATTGTTACTCTTAATTTTCTGGATGCCTTCAGTTTTGTTCCTCATCCAGAAATCCTCCTCCTCATCCTTAGAAATCCTAATTGGAAAAGCTTGAAATCATACCATATTTTTTTGCTATCTAAGTAATAGGTGTCATATCTGGAAAACACAGTTTACTTTTGAAGTACTCTTTGTTAGCAGCCAAAGTAAAAAGGAACAGAATCTGAAAGTCATACCAGTTACCGTTGTGAAGCACTAACAAATAGAAAGAAAAAGCTATGAAGAAAAAATGTATATTTAGCATCATTTTAAGAAACAAATAACAATAAAAAATCATGTAAATGCATGCACAGTTTGATGAGTGTATGAGTTGAAAGCAAAATCAACTTTTCATTTTTCATTTTTCCATTTTGCATTTCATATGCATTTTGTTCTCAGAGCAGAACATCTAAAGGAAGCCTACTAGAGCATTAGTGCTTTCTTTGTGAATGCTTTACTGCAATCTGGCATCTAAAATGAGGAAACATTAGAGGTGGTTTATTTATATTTCAGCACCAAATTAGAAAGATGACATCATTCATTTACAGTTCTTATCCCATGACACATCTAATCCCCAACACCTCATTACAAGGGACACTTTTAGGATTGCATATATCATCTTGTTTAACTTTTGCATTCTTTTATGGGATACAGTTGAAAGGTAGGAAATTTAAGGCTGTTCATTGATAAGAAAGTAAACTGATAAAATCTTAGGAGCTTCCCAAAGAGGCAGAATATTACAGTGTTTACAGTAAGTGGGTTACTATTTATTAATTCTCTGTCTTTTCCACTATTGTTCAGAAGGACTTCCTCTTTAAATATTAAGTCAAACAAGTTAATGGTGATTCAGGTTGAGTTGGCCTTGTGGCAAAATCAGCAAATTCATGACTAAAATTCATACAGGTCAATGCTTTCGTCTTCTTAATTAGAATGGAAAAAATGGAATTGTCCCAGCTGTGCAGAAAATAGCATTTAAAAGTCTGACATGATACCCTACAGAATCTGTGCAATTCCTGTTCAAAGGAATCTACCTCTGGACTTATGGATGAAATCTATATTGTAAGAGGCAGGGAAGATGCTCACAGCAAAGGTGCTGTAGTGATGGTTAGAAAGCAACAAACACTGGTTAAAGCATATCCATATCTAATCTGTCAGTGTTCCTCTGCCTTGTTACTGTGTCTGTCGTAACGTGAACTGAGTGCTAGTGCCCTCCTGAAATCTGTTTATTACTGTCCCCCAATGGTCATCATGTGGAGTTCTTGAGAAGCATTACGATATTTCAAAATAAAATTAGTTGCAAAGAAGACATCTTAGGATTTTGTGTGATCCCAGTGGTTCATGGTTTTCCTCTCATTACTTTTTTCTTACAGTGCAAATATTTTGTAGTAAGAATATTTGTTTTTCTCTTCTTGCTTTTTTATTTTTCTTTTTTGTTTGTTGTTTTTTGTTTGTTTTTCAAAATCTCTTTTCTACTTCAACAAAACTAATTAAATTCAAGAAACTTAATTGAAATCTCAGTTTTTAATTTTCTATTAAAGTATATTTACCAGTGAAGTTTTCCTAGCAGAAATTTTGGTATAGGATTGTTCTCATAGGAGAATGTATTTACCTTAATCCTTGAAGACTAGTTACCACATATTAGATATAGGCTGCTAGATATCTCATGGACATTACCAGTTGGAATCCAATTAGAGCTGTTAGCCTAGGAATATACACAAATTAATGAGAGGTGTTTAAAATCATCTGTTCAATTTGGGAATGATCAGTTTGAGCAAAATCTTGGGGTGATGTGTTTTTCAGTGTCCCTCAGTACGTGTCCTGCCACCTTGGGGAACAAGTGGAACTGTGAATGTTTCTAATTGACTTCATATTCCTAACTTTAATGTCAGTAGAAAAGTGTCTATTTCCAGTGTATTTCCAATTGTTTGTGCATGATCCACTCAAATGGTTTCCACGTAGAGAACTGGCACAAAGTAAATAATGCTCTTTCAAGTGCATCTATTCCCATACAAAATAATTATATCAGGGTTCAGATGAGTTTTTTTTTGTTGTTGTTTTTTTTTTAATATGATATTAAATGTGTCTAGACTTCAGTCTTTCCTTCAGCCATCTGCATAGTACTAATCGTGTATACCTTGAATGAAATCTTCAAATTTTGACAGAGGTCCCTGTAAGCTCATGGCATTTTCTCCAGGGATTTATCAGTGCAAAAGTAAAACTTGATTAATGGTTAACAAGTTTTCCTGAGATAGCCTTAAATCCTTCTAACAAAAAAAAATAAGTGCTGTATACACTGATATTGGGCAATTAGGTAGAAAGATATTTTTGGTGCCATAAACAAGGTTTGTGTTATTCTAGTCTATGTATGTTATGGTATGGAATAATTGTAATAATGATAAAGAGCAAGGGTGTATCTTGTTACCTCACAGTGACATGAGATTTTATAATCTGTACAAAGCAGTAACTGAAGCATAGATGTTGTTTTCGAGATCTTTATCTAAGACTTACTTTCATTCTGTGATGTGTGAAGTCCCATAATCACTATTTCCTCTAAGCAACTGTGTCTGTATCAACTAGACTTCAGATTCTTTTACCTTAATATTTAGCAGGGTGATCCTTGCTTGCAATAAAAAAAGGAAAATTAAGCAAAAATTTATTTAGCATAGCTGTTCACAATTGTTGTTGTCTTGCCTTGATAGATAACTGTAAATACTTGAAGCATGCTCAATATTCCTGTTTGTGAGATTTTGGAAGTTAATTATTGAAACATAGTAATAAACTGAAAATAGGCAACTCTTCTAAAATAGTAAATTTAGAAAACTTCAATGTCTTCATTGACACCTTTCAAACATAACATCCTTAATCATGTCCTTTTCTGATTTCTTTGTGCTATTCTATGTAAGTGAAAACTGAGACAGATATATTCACATCCTTTGTTATCTTTCTCTATTTGTTTCCTTTTCTTTCTGAGCCAGCAGTCCTGACTTCTATTGTGAGATCCTTGCAGCTACAACCAAAAGAAAGAGTGAACAAAGAGCTAAGATCTTGCCAAAACACTGTTAGATTAATCAATTCCAGCATGTAATAATTTTTTTCATTGTCCCTCTTAAACAGACACAAAACAGAATGAAACTAATGGCAGATAACTATGATGATGACCATCACCACTACCACCATCATCACCACCATCACCATCACCGATCTCCTGGGAGGCCACAACACTCCAACCACAGACCCTCTCCAGATCAGGTCAGTCCCTTCTTTTCTATGCTTCGCTTCTATAATTTTACAGTTTTGATATTTCAAGGTGAAACAAATATTCCACAAATAAAACGAGCAATATTAGTGATGTGTTCTTTGAGCAGAAACTAGTAGGTGTTGCATTTGTTTCCAGCGCAGAAAGAATCTCAGTGTTATGCTTGGGATCTTATATTTCTCTATCTTTTTAAAAACATTTCACAGATACTTTTTCAGCATTTCATAATTCAACTTTTTAATTAGAAAGGCATTGAAAATTTGCCTACTTAAATTGATTTCAAAAGTATGCAATTTTTGGAGTTTTGGGTAATTTATTTAAAGTAAATGGAGAAATAATTAGTACTTTAAAACTTATACAGTATTTTCATTTGGTATCTTGTAAACCACTAGTTCTAAGCTGTTCATGAAAATATTTTTTTCATTATTTAAAGCAATAAAGCTATAAAATAACAGGTATAGATTAAAGGGAAGTGACACATTTTTCACTAGGCACAATAAACAAAATTCCAGAATGTTTTATTGAAAAACTGCTCGTGTGTCAGTATTCTTATAATATTAGTCTTCTTCAAGTCCTCTGTTTCAAGACTATCCTAATAAGATGGTCTCAAAAATTTTGTTAATTGAACATGCTAGATTTGAAATTTTTCCATATAGAAAAAAAAATATCCCTAAGCCCAACACTGGTTTGATTTTGTGAATTTCAATATTTGTTTATAAATAAGCATAAATTTTTTAAATCAAAACATTTATTTTGGAAATACATGACTCATTTGATTTTGTTGATATTTTGTAATGTTAATGATTTGAATATTAAGAGAAAAAGTGAAATACAGAATTATGAAAACAAATTCATTAACATAGTTTTAAAATGATAATATTTATACAATATTTGTTTGGAATAAAAGGTCACAAAGGTTAGTGGTTTTTAGCATTACTGCACTGCCCTTTATAATAGTTCAGAGTGGTTCTTCAGATAATGCTGCAGTTCCTTTGATAGGAAGAAATTTGCTAAGTGTTAATGTGCAGGTTCAGTACTTTTTGTTTTAGACATCTGAGTGAAGGAGATGCTTTGACCAAAAATTTTGTTTTTTTGATATTTTTGAAACAGTAAATATCAGAGCTCTTCTTTCTGGAAAGCTTTAAGAACAGATCCACCAAAAATAATGTATCTGCTTAACTTCCATATTTATATATGGAAAATAACACTTTAGTATTATTATAGCTATTACATGTGGTAGGATAATTAATAGATTTAACATGTCATTATGAAGTATTGAAAGTAATGAAATTTCTTCATTATTTATCTATCCCAGTGCATTATTTATATTTGTTTTGCTCTATAGATTTTCCTAATCATCACCTGATTGGTGATTTCTGTCTTAAGTTACATTCTTGAAGTTGTGGTCTATCATTATGCACTCACTTTATTCTTGCACTCTTTCCTAGGTGGTCCCTAGTTTTGGGCCACAATCTGAAACAGGATGCAGGTCTAGATGGCCCTTACATAGCACAGCCTTTCTAAATATGGTTTGTATTTGTCAAGGACAAACGATGTTAAGCAAATCAAATTTCCTTTCAAAGGGTTAACTGGCTTTGTGACTTAAGAAGAAAATGGTAGCTGTGACATATGTACTTTGAATTCATTAGGCCTTTGTAACTGTCCCATCATATATTTGTAATAACTACAATAGTATGGTAAAATACAGTGTAAAATACATTAAAACAACAAAAGCTATAACAATAAATGTTATCATTTTAATGGTATCAAGTATGAAATCAGGATGGGATGTCCATGCAACTGAAAGATATAACACGCTACAGAAAAAATTTCAGTTATTCATTGCTGGGCTGGAGGAACATTTACAGCAGTTTGCTAAGAAGTCTTTCCTATATCCAATTCTGTGAAGTCCTTTTTTAGAAATTATTTCAGGGATGAAAAAGAAAGAGTATTTTTGGTTATGAACCAAGATGCAAGAAACTACAGATACAGCAGAAGCAGATAAGGTGCTTAGTAAACTGCTCTAGTCTCAATAAACTGGAGAGAAAGTCTGAAATAAGTAATTTGAAATTCAGTGAAGACAAATTCATTTAGAAGGGAGACTTCACATGTACTGAGGCCATATAATGGAAAAGAAGAAAAGAATCTGTATTTGAAACAGTATGAAGCAATGATGGAATACCATTGCAATGAAGTTGCATCTAATTTTGGGTAATGCTGGAGAAGAAGCAGGAAGTAATTATTCTGCTTTCTCGAGCACTGGTGAGACTTCATCTGAAAAGCTGTATACAGTTTTGAACACCATGCTTTAAGAAAGATAGACAAATTGGAAACGGACAAAAGGAGAGCAATAAGAATGATAGGAGTTTTAGAAAACATGACCTATGAGGAAAGCTTAAAGAACTGGATTTGTTTAGTCTAGAAAGTACTAAGAGCAAGTCATAAGTCTTCTAATATATAAAATATTGTTGTAAAGAGGACGATGATCAATTGTGTTCTGGTGCCCGTTGGAGAAAGAGTAGGAGAGGCAATTTATACCAGGAGTAACTAGGTTATTTATTAAAAACAAACAAACATAACAAAAATAAAATATAAAAAATAAATAAAAAAGGAAAGAAAAGAACTGCAAACAAACCAAACAAGATTTTTTTAGCATAAGTGTAGCAAATCTGTAAGTCAAAAGAAACATGAACATTCTTTACTAGAGATGTAGCAGAAACTCCTTTCTTGCAGATTTTCAAGAACAGGTTAGACAAATATCTGTTGCACATGATAGTTGTTTTATTTCATCTTATATTTGTCCACTGGTTGGATGAGGTTTTCTTCTGAGGCACTGCCATCCCTAAATTTCCAGACTCTGTGAGCAGTAGATTAACCTAGCTAATGTTTAATTGTAAAGTAAATAAATAGGAGTTCCACAGCAAAATCCTTCCTGAAATAAACTTTTGGGAAGCAGCAAAATCAGTATGAATGAGTGAACTCAAGTCATTTCTTTAGCTTACGTTTTTAAATCGTGGATTTTATTTTTTACTGTGTTGTATTACTTAGCATTCTACACAACACCTTTTTTTGTCCAACAATTTGATTGTCATGTGCCATGAAAACTTCTGTTTTCCATTCAATAGTGTACTATGCACTATTATTTTATTTTATAAACCAAACAAAAGAAAAAAAAAGGAAGTAGTGAACACATATTTTAACACAAATGTGTTGGATGTTGGGAAGGATTTTGAAAGTTTCTTCAGGAATCTCAGAGAGAAAAAGATAATTTTGAAACATTTTTCATATTTATGCATTATATTGGAATTTCTAATTTATGTTGCTACATTTAAGTAAGGAAATACTCATGTGTTACCATATATGGATGTAAAAATATTTGCATGTTCATTTTAATACGTATTTGTGAAAATGAATAAGATATTTCACTCTTAGTGGTGTAAAGCACTGTGAGTCTATACCTGTTTTAAAGAGCTTAATGTACTACTTGTTTCTTGGAAGAAAAATACATAGACATCCTACTTTTAATGTGGTGCTATTTGTTTCAGCTATTGATATTTTCTTCCAGTGGTCATGTTTTCATTATAATTTTTACTCAGTAACAATTGTTATGAAGGGAAAAATATAAGTTGGAAAGCTTTTACACCCATATTCACTTATTATTAATTTACCTGCAAGTTTTACATTTCTTGCTATCTGAAACATTTCTTATTGGCATGTATGACAGACCTCTAACTGCAGAATGGTCTCCATATAAAAAAAATTGCATATTTTGCTATCACTTGTTCAGATTCATGAGAACTTTCCTATGTGGCCCTACGTTCAAGTTGCTGCTTGTGGACTACATGGTATAAAATATACTTGATTATTTTAATTACAACTGGCATCTCTATATAAAAAAAAAACAAAAAAAAAACAAACACATTTGTGTTCAGTTATACACACCCACCAGATCAGGCTGCCCAATTCCTCATCTAGCCTGAATGTGAATATCTCTAGGGATGGGACATCCACAACTTCTCTGGGGAAACTTGTTCCAGTGCCTCACAAACTTCTGAAGATTTCTTTCTAACATCTAACATAAATATCACCTCTTTTTGTTTTAAATCTTGTGCTGTCACTATTGGGCCACATAAAAAAAGTCGATCTCCATCTTATTTATGAACTCCCTTTAAGTACTGAAATGCAGCAATGAGTCTCCCCAGAGCATTCTCTTCTCCAGGCTGAACAAGCCAAGCACCCTCTGTCTGTCGTCATAGAAGAGATTTTCCTGCCCACTGATCATCTTCATGGCTGCTATTTGGACCTGCTCCAACAGCTCCACATCTTTCTTGTGCTGGGAGCCCCAGAACTGGATGCAATATTCTAGATGGGGCCTTGTAAGAGCAGAGAGGAAGGGGACGCTCTCCTCCCTTGCCCTGCTGGCCACCTCTCTTTTGATGCAGTTCAGGAAGCTGTTGGCTTTCTAGACTGCACACACACACTCTGCCTTATGTCCAGCTTTTCATCCACCAGAACTCTCAAGTCTTTTCTGGACTGCTCTCATTGAGTTCTCCCATCTTTACCTGTATCTATCTAGTATTGCCTGACTGAGATGATACAATTTGCACTCAGCCTTGCTGAACCTCAATATGTTCATGTGGGCTCACTTTTTGAGCTTGTCCAGGTCACTTTGGATGGCATACCTTCCTTCTATCATATCAACTGCACCACTGTAACACCAGTCCAGTGTTGTCTGCAAACCTACTCAGGTTGCACTTGATTGATCATTGGTCATTGATAAAGATATTAAAGACAACTGGTCCCAAGTTGGACCCCTGGGGGACACGACTTGTGACTGGCCTCCATGTGGACATAGACCCATTGACCACAACCCTCTGGCTGTGACTGTTCAACAAATTCCCCAACCACTGAATACTCAACCCTTCAAATCCATCTCTCTCCAATTTAGAGATTAAGATGTAATGTGGGACTATGTCAAAGGCCTTGCAGAAAT